GCATTGTATTTAATTAATTCTTACCTGCGAATTTAATATGATAACAATCATATTTTCGCCATCCTTCTTCTTCTGGTTCTGCGTTGTGGCGTAGTTTATCGCCAGATCCTGGTCCTGTAGGCCACCAGCACTCCGAACGGTCTCTGCTCAACCAATTTGTTGAAACGACAGCGACTTTTTTCCCCTTTATAAAGTTGACAACCGAAAATCTACTGGACGACATGTTGGATGAGTAAGAGAGGACTGGGTCGGCCATGCACTATGGTTTAATTCTCCCTCCGATGTGAATACAAAGTATTCTGTCTCGATTCGATTGCTATACTAAAAATCGCATGCTTGCGCGTTTCGTTTTTAAGTATACGAATAGAATTAGAGATTCCGATTACAAATCGAAATCGAGAAATAGCATTCCAATAGTGCGCTAATAGAATGGTATTTTCAGATTCGAATGTGTTCTGATTTTTGTAGCGATCTAGAATTCTGTTTTCATTCGAATTTCCTTCGAAGCATTCTATCGAACCTACATAGAACAAATCGAAGACAAACAGAATTCTAATAGCATTCGCTTGTACATCGGGTAGGGTCCCTCTCGATGAAAATTTTTGTAATTTCATCATAGAAACCAATACGAACCCCATTTTGGTACATTATGCCCCACCGGTCTAAGACCCACCATTTGTACGATTTCGCACATCTTCCTGATTTGCCATGTTTTCCAAGTTTCAAGTCGATAAGTTTTACTAGCGTAATTGATAGACAGACGGACAGACAGACAACATGACTGGTATATATATAAGCCCTTCGGGCTAAAAACGACTTCTTCTTCGTTGCGCGACCAAAATTGGGGGTGGAAAAATTGCTTCAAACTTGAACCTACAAACTCAAAATTTCGGTTAAGATAATTTTTTAAGGAAAATCAATGCATCTGCTATCTAGCTGCATATGTGTGTTATCGATATGGACTTTTATTGTGTTTTTTTAAATTTAATGAATTGATGCTTTGTAGGACTAATTAGTAAATTACTCCCATCCAAAACCAGTGTCTAGATATTCTACATATTCATTTGTCGAATTTAGTTCTCATCCAACGACTGGACTGTTATAATTGATATGGATGATATTAAGATGATGTGTGACATTATGTTACGTTGTTAAAGGAAACTTGAAAGAATCGACATGCAAGGGATGTGAACATGATAAATGTTGGACGTCTGACAAAACGACCAGACGAGATGGCTTGCAGTAAGAAGGTGTAGAAATAATAAAGATGAATTTTTGATGGAGAAAATGAGTGGACATTTGTCATGGAGTGATCATGTCGACGTCAAAGTATTCTCCTTTGGTCATGGTTGACAAGGAATGTGAGGATGTGAGGAAGGAAGTGTGTAATAAGAAAAACAATTACTTTTCTTTATGATTGAGGGATGAAAATATTTGGTGGCAAGAAGTCTTTGAAAGCCCATTACCCACGAAGTGCAATAATATTCGCAGAAAATGAAAAAGTCCTCTTTTTATGAACAGAAGTGGGATGTTGTGGGCAAAATGCCAAAATGCTCTACCACTTGGAGTCCAGCAGACCATTATTCCCAACTGCGCCATCACTTCCACAGATTCCTTCAGTTTGTGATCCAGCAGCGTGAAACTCTTTGTGCAGGTAGCAATCATGAATCATGTTCATTAACCGTCATAAGGGCAGTAGTTCTCAAGGCTTTAAATCTTCAGATAATAATACCAAGGCTAAAATTATAAAATGCGAGTAAAATAGAGTTATTTGAGAAGGTGAGTGAAAGTGCACATTACAAGTGTGCAGTCCCAGGGAGTAGAAAGCAGCGGGTGAAAGGCATGAGACGATGAAGAGGAAGTGGATGGAGAACTTTCTCTGAGGGTGGTGGTGGTGTGGTGCTGGTGCTCATCTTGTATTCTCCTTTTCAGCTTAATTACTTTTGACATGGTAGTGTCTGATTTACGCATATAGCATCCCACCGCACCAGCAAAGCAAGCCCAAGCAAACTCAATTCTGCTTCGTCCAAATAGCTTTTAAGTAAGAAAGAGGAGTTTGGGTTGGCCATAAAACCAAGTACCACTACCATCTCATCTCCTCATCCAAGTAATAAACCAAGACAACTGCATAAAACCATAAAACCATTCGCTCTTTCTCTTCCCTCAAATAATTCCCACTTTCTAGCACAAACTCACAAAATTATTCAAAAACATCTCGTTTGGACGAGTGTGCCTAAATGAAAAAATATGGAAAGAATGAAAATGGGAGCGTAGTACGTTGAATAAGCCAAGAAAATGAAAACAAATACATAGTGATGCAGCTTGGATGCATGAAAAATTGTTATCTAAGTATATATTAAATTCTTGCTATCCAATATATACATATTTAAATAGTCTTATGCATATATACAATAACGTTTTATTTATGCTTGGCTTGTATGTAGTAGCACAGCACAAAGCGAAATAATCCAAAATTTTCGGAAATAATTCCACGAGCACTTTTTTGATGAAATTTTTGCGTATTCCGAGCTCTTGGGGGCCAAGGCCAAACCCATAAAAAAATTGAAGAGCCACGCCCACTTTGGGTGTGGTTTTTTCCTAGCAGGGTTAGAGCAAAATGTCATATCTTAAATTGTAGCTCATGCCATTGTACATCTTCAGTAAAAATTTCATCCAAATCCGTTAATAAATAAAAAAGATATTCAATGGCGAAGCTCGGCGAAAGTCAAAAGACGTAAGTCTTAAAAGACGTAAGACGTAAGAAAGTCAAAAGATGATCAAAAGTGTTTGAATATGTATTTTGGAGGGGAGGGGAGCATTAGTGTTAAATTTCAGCTCTCTAGCTCCATGTCGAAATTTCGACACGTCGACATGGTTCCCTTACGACATGGGTCAATTTCACCTGCGACCCACTTTTTAGACCTAGCTGAAGCTAGATATCGATTTTTACTGCGATGTGACATGTCAAATTTCATCCTTTTTGGACAATTTCGCCATGAATGTTCCCAATGTTCCCGGGACTATAACTTTGAAAGGGGCAGATTCAAGATCTCCGTTTTTCTTGGAATACGTTGATTCCATTGGGGACTACAATTTACAATAATTTTCAGAATATTATACTTGCCCCTTTCGGAGAACCACGCCCCTAAAGTCGTCACCTTTTGACGTTCGCCGAGCTTCGCCATTGAATATCTTTTTTGTTTGTGAACGGATTTAGATGAAATTTTTACTGAAGATGTACAATGGCATGAGCTACAATTTAAGATATGACATTTTGCTCTAACCCTGCTAGGAAAAAACCACACCCAAAGTGGGCGTGGCTCTTCAATTTTTTTATGGGTTTGGCCTTGGCCCCCAAGAGCTCGGAATACGCAAAAATTTCATCAAAAAAGTGCTCGTGGAATTATTTCCGAAAATTTTGGATTATTTCGCTTTGTGCACAGTTCGAAGTTCGTTTTTTGAAATCAAAATATTAAATGCTAAGAATGTTTTGAATTTTCAAAGGCTCAATTCTGGAGTTTGGTAAATTTGGGGTTTGGTAAAAGAAAAATTACGCAAATCAGCAGGGGTGGTCAAGCTATGCATGTTTGAAATTGTAAAGTACAAATTAAAATTTTGTCATATTACAATTACTTAATGCTTTGGAATTTTGTAAATTACGTAATCCAGTTAAATTATAACTGAAGTTACAAATGAATTAAGTGTATGCAGTGCAGTGCAAGTTAAACCGCTTTTAAAATGAGTTTAATCAATAACTTTAACCAGTTACTTGTTAATATTATAAGAAACAATTAACGTCGAGGCATTATAATTAAAACCACTTTTTACACAAGGAACCTATATAAAAATTGCTTTAATATAATGCTTCGATCATAGCAATCAAAGCTTTTATTTGTAATCGAAACGTAAACTCAAACTTACTACAAAGTTGGCATGTGCTTATATCTATCTGCAACGTCAATTTCGTGTTTCATGTAAATATATGCATGTTTTTTTAAAAAATATAATATTAAATATAATTAAATATTAGTATAATTTAATATCAATCGTCTTACATTTGTGGAGACAACCTGAATATCTGTTTGGAATTGATGGCTATAGATCTTTTGGGAAATTTAATACCACACTTTCCGGTGTGGTATTAACTTGCCGTTAGAATTTGCTGAATAAATTTCAAAATTTAATAAAATTGGGATTTTGTTTTCAAATTTTTGTTGGATGAGTATATAAAACTCGGCAAATTCTTATATTTTGTTGAGAATATTTTGAGAGTATTCTGCATACTCTCAAAAATCAGCTAAAAATTTGAACCTATGCCAGAGATACTCAAGTGCAATTTTTTTGAAAATATTTCCGTACGTCTTTTGTAATTTGCAATTTGGGCACCCCTATCCTTGCCTTCTACATCCATCAGTCTGGTTAGAAACGTAGTCTTTAACTCCTTGGAAATTTAAATTTCAAATTTTCTCACATTATTTTCAAATATTACTTATCGCTGAAGATGACTCCATTGACCGTTTTCTCCTGTCAAGGACCCAGACCCAGATCATACACTATTACATTTAGTATTTTCAAGGTAAAAAGTAGTAGGACTTTAAAGTTCAAGAACTAGTCAAAATTTCCTAAATCGGTAATTAGAGCTGAAAATGATGCAATTCAATTTACCTTTATTTAAGTGTTAGTCACATTCACATTAGACTGGTTTACACGTTACAGCCATTAGAAATAAAAATCTGTCTACACTAAATATAATTAAAATCACTGAAAAATACACTGTGGTAATCATTGCATTTAAAAGTAGGTATAGAATCAACACAAGAAATCCTAATTGTAACCAGTAAAACGATAAAAAATGCAATGCTTTTGATGCATCTGATTTTGATGCTTTTGTTTTGTACTCTCAGAGAACTTCTCTGATGTTGAAAGGGCCCCACACGGACCCCTTAATTTGAGGGCTCGCAATAAGAAGTCAGGAGAAATAGAAAAATGTAGTGGCTTACCGTAACTATTGCTTTCATGAATGATAGGCCCAGCCGTGCACGTCTCCATGCGTAGAATTTTTTGTTGCCAGCGTAGTTAGTATTGATTCGAAAAGCTGTCCCCAGAAATTGGTAAACATAAATAAATTACAAATTATGTTTGTAGAAACCCAAGGAATGCCTAAAAATGACAGACTGGCCGTAAATAATCACGTGAAATTCCTGTCAACCGATTCCGACAGTACATTGTAGTTGGCATTAAACCACAAAAGCGCAACACGTCACTTCGAACTACAAAATTCGTAAATCCGTTAAATCAAATCCAGGTGACAATTGGTCAGTTCACTGCACCTATTTAACATACATAAACGTGCACATTACTATAACAAGCTCTTGAGTATATGAATTATAATAAATAATATGACACTATGTTGAAAATCTTGTCAATTTTTATGATGAGTTAACGTAAGTAATAATGATGCATGAATCCACTTACCTTGCAGGAATTTATTTTGCAAATCACAAATAAGTGGATGCTAGCGATTATTATTCATTGTCGAGATATGATACAAAAAGACCAAAGTGGGCCAGTTTAACTTTAATATAGATTAACACGTGTCGTCTCTATTAATAATTGCCAAGCTCGGAAATATTGGATTATATATTAGCGATTAGCTGAAGCTGACTAGTGAAAACAATCAAAATTTGTAGAGTGGAGTGAGAAGGGAAGGAATAAGGATATATGAGTGTTCGCATGGAGTTGCCGCCGATGAATATCGATGACACAATATTCCGCGTGCACTTAATGAACAGCTTGCGATATATATATAATGGGGCACATTAATATAACCAGCTTGTTTGCCTCGTTAAAATCTTACAATAGTCAATAGTGTCTGTGTAAGATTAAACTGCAAACTACTGCGATTAAAATAGTCAGTAATTATTTATTCGATAATATAGCTGTTATTTGTCGTCGTCATCAGTCTTCCTTGTGCGTGGTAATAAAGTTTTCAATAATCTAAATTTATAGACATTTTATAATCACATTTGTATGAATTCTTTACGTTTCATATTTTAGGAAGCAGATGAAAACAAAAACAACTTGGTTGACTCTATACATAATAAAACCGACCTTACCATTAGTTGGGAGCACTTGGAGGTATTTGCTATTTTTGGAGTTTAATGAAGTACATATGATTAATAATAATTCAGTTTGCACTGCGAATTTCGCAGGGAGATAGCTTACACTGTTTACATCTCGTCCTTGTTATATGATTGGAAATCTTGTCATTTAAATTATGAGCGGTAATCATAGCCCAGATGTACCAACAATTAATGAAGATCTATTCGGGGATGGCAGGTGGATGAGCGTGGTAATAATGTAATATTAGTCAATAATGATGACAATATAATAATGTATGTTTACGATAATTATTTTTAAGCATAAAAGGTTTGTTGCCGATACCCACGAGAAGGAAGGAACTGAAGTGGTATTTACCGGGGATTCATTAATAGCTTATCTGCAATACACCCCCATGTGGGACACCCACTTTTCGCCCATGCATGCCTTGAATTTTGGAATAGGAGGTGAACGAACGGAACATGTACTATGGAGGTGCATGAATGGTGAAATGGACAATATCAAGCCAAAAGTATGAACTAGTGGATTTAGGATTAGTGTAGTAAATTACCCTGTGTAAAATGTAACTTATCCCACTCCACTAGGGTTGCATAACATGTGTCGCCGTGGGGACATTTGCCCAATAAAGCAGTATAAATTTAAATGTAATGCAATAAATTATTGCGATACGTTTAAATTAGGGATATTATTGCCAATAATATCCCATGGGGACGTCATATATGTGAATGACCTGTCTAACTGCACAGGCAGTTGGTCAATTCCCAATATTTTACCAAAATAATACAGCACTATATATGATTCTGTATCACTCAATAGACAAAGTATTTTGTACTTTTATGAAAAACGCTTAAACTTTGTACATAATGTAGATTCAAATGTTCAATTCTTCTAACAATCCGCTAGATTTTGATTTTTCTAAGCTTTCGTTAAAATTATGTATTTTTTTAGGTCTGATAAGACTATTTTATACCCACTTTTTTCAAAAAAATTAGCCTCTATGATATGTCCCCACGGTCGAAATTATCTTCCGCGGCCACTGATAATGTCTGATGTTATAACTTATGTACATATTTTGTGCCGGAGTGTTTTTTAAATAAATTTCAAAACGCATATTTGCATAATGTCTGTCCAGGTATGACATCATAAAATTAGATTGGTTTCCGTTATAACCGCTAACCGCTACAAATTTGTCCTGAACAAGTTATATCGATTCTAACGGAAGCCAATGCAGAAAGGTTACCGATTAGAGATTTATTGAAAGAAATACTCCGGCACGAAATATGTACCTGTGACTTCTCCTACAACGGAGAGAGACTGCTATTTAGTAACACCTTGATATAGATATACATATCTCTATATATTTACATACTATGTGCCCTGTACAATTTGTAGGCCGTGGTGTTACTTATTGGGACGAACAATCATGGCTGCACCCCGGAACAAATTTCGGAAGGCATTATGTCTATTGTTGATATAATTAGGAGCAAGCAGAAAGAAGCCGAAATATTGGTATTGGTAAGTTAATTTGAAAGAAATTAAATTATGATGAGGTTGTACATATTTAAAAAATATCTTTGCTCATGTCGCTTATGTAGTCGTTGTTACCACGAGGAGAAAAACCCAACTCACTACGTGATCGCAACAAACAAGTTAATGACATTGTGAAGGACAAAGTTGTTGGGAAATATAAAACTCAGTTGATTAATATTGACCCTGGATTCGTCCAACCCAACGGTAAGATGTATAGCATGGAATGTGGGAATTTGTTAAGGTGTGTATGTTTTTTTTAATTATTTGATGTAAAGGTTTCATTTCTCATCACGATATGTGGGACTATTTGCATTTATCAAAATCTGGATATATGAAATCATTTGAACCCGTTCATGAAATCCTTCTTCAAATTTTGGCAGATTCAGAAATTGGAGTGACTACAGTTAAAGTATAATATTTGGATTTTTAATTTACACTTTTTTTTATATATGCACACATTATTCTAAATAGATATGTTCAACTTTCTACACAACTAACGTTAAAGTATTGTTAATAAATCACAATTTCAATAAGCATTACTGTAATTATTTCAGTTAATGATTATTAAGTAGCCGCTATGTCGGTTTGAAAGTCCGGATATCTGCAGCACGCCTCAAAAAAATCAAATGAAGTGTTTGTAATTTTTGAGTTTTATTTTCGGTCGCGTCTGATAATGGCCTCAATGAGACCACACCCGCATACTGAGTTAGTGTGAAGGTATGGTCCAATATTATACTTAAGTTGCATAATAGTTTCTGTAATTTTGGGAGGAATTTCACCCCGAAATCAACGCCGTCAATTTTTATAGTTCAAGTCGAATTTAACAGAAAATTGATATGGGGTGGGGGGATAAATCATATGGGGGGAGGGGTTAAACTAATATACGGGGAGAGGGTGTTAAATTAATGGGTGGGGGCTTAATTTTTACTTGGACCGTTTTTTTGCAAAAAAATGACGCTCCGGCGCGGCGCGCTCATAACTCCCAATTTACGTGGGGCTGCGCGCAACTACGTTGCGCGCACGAAAATTTTTCCCGCCATATTTAGGGGGTGGGGGGTAAAACGTGGGGGGGGGGAGGGGATAAATCATATGGGGGGTATTGGGGGGGGTTAAACTAATATACGGGGAGAGGGTGTTAAATTAATGGGTGGGGGCTTAATTTTTACTTGGACCGTTTTTTTGCAAAAAAATGACGCTCCGGCGCGGCGCGCTCATAACTCCCAATTTACGTGGGGCTGCGCGCAACTACGTTGCGCGCACGAAAATTTTTCCCGCCATATTTAGGGGGTGGGGGGTAAAACGTGGGGGGGGGGAGGGGATAAATCATATGGGGGGTATTGGGGGGGGTTAAACTAATATACGGGGAGAGGGTGTTAAATTAATGGGTGGGGGCTTAATTTTTACTTGGACCGTTTTTTTGCAAAAAAATGACGCTCCGGCGCGGCGCGCTCATAACTCCCAATTTACGTGGGGCTGCGCGCAACTACGTTGCGCGCACGAAAATTTTTCCCGCCATATTTAGGGGGTGGGGGGTAAAACGTGGGGGGGGGGGAGGGGATAAATCATATGGGGGGTATTGGGGGGGGTTAAACTAATATACGGGGAGAGGGTGTTAAATTAATGGGTGGGGGCTTAATTTTTACTTGGACCGTTTTTTTGCAAAAAAATGACGCTCCGGCGCGGCGCGCTCATAACTCCCAATTTACGTGGGGCTGCGCGCAACTACGTTGCGCGCACGAAAATTTTTCCCGCCATATTTAGGGGGTGGGGGGTAAAACGTGGGGGGGGGGGAGGGGATAAATCATATGGGGGGTATTGGGGGGGGTTAAACTAATATACGGGGAGAGGGTGTTAAATTAATGGGTGGGGGCTTAATTTTTACTTGGACCGTTTTTTTGCAAAAAAATGACGCTCCGGCGCGGCGCGCTCATAACTCCCAATTTACGTGGGGCTGCGCGCAACTACGTTGCGCGCACGAAAATTTTTCCCGCCATATTTAGGGGGTGGGGGGTAAAACGTGGGGGGGGGGGAGGGGATAAATCATATGGGGGGTATTGGGGGGGGTTAAACTAATATACGGGGAGAGGGTGTTAAATTAATGGGTGGGGGCTTAATTTTTACTTGGACCGTTTTTTTGCAAAAAAATGACGCTCCGGCGCGGCGCGCTCATAACTCCCAATTTACGTGGGGCTGCGCGCAACTACGTTGCGCGCACGAAAATTTTTCCCGCCATATTTAGGGGGTGGGGGGTAAAACGTGGGGGGGGGGGAGGGGATAAATCATATGGGGGGTATTGGGGGGGGTTAAACTAATATACGGGGAGAGGGTGTTAAATTAATGGGTGGGGGCTTAATTTTTACTTGGACCGTTTTTTTGCAAAAAAATGACGCTCCGGCGCGGCGCGCTCATAACTCCCAATTTACGTGGGGCTGCGCGCAACTACGTTGCGCGCACGAAAATTTTTCCCGCCATATTTAGGGGGTGGGGGGTAAAACGTGGGGGGGGGGGAGGGGATAAATCATATGGGGGGTATTGGGGGGGGTTAAACTAATATACGGGGAGAGGGTGTTAAATTAATGGGTGGGGGCTTAATTTTTACTTGGACCGTTTTTTGCAAAAAAATGACGCTCCGGCGCGGCGCGCTCATAACTCCCAATTTACGTGGGGCTGCGCGCAACTACGTTGCGCGCACGAAAATTTTTCCCGCCATATTTAGGGGGTGGGGGGTAAAACGTGGGGGGGGGGGAGGGGATAAATCATATGGGGGGTATTGGGGGGGGTTAAACTAATATACGGGGAGAGGGTGTTAAATTAATGGGTGGGGGCTTAATTTTTACTTGGACCGTTTTTTTGCAAAAAAATGACGCTCCGGCGCGGCGCGCTCATAACTCCCAATTTACGTGGGGCTGCGCGCAACTACGTTGCGCGCACGAAAATTTTTCCCGCCATATTTAGGGGGTGGGGGGTAAAACGTGGGGGGGGGGGAGGGGATAAATCATATGGGGGGTATTGGGGGGGGTTAAACTAATATACGGGGAGAGGGTGTTAAATTAATGGGTGGGGGCTTAATTTTTACTTGGACCGTTTTTTTGCAAAAAAATGACGCTCCGGCGCGGCGCGCTCATAACTCCCAATTTACGTGGGGCTGCGCGCAACTACGTTGCGCGCACGAAAATTTTTCCCGCCATATTTAGGGGGTGGGGGGTAAAACGTGGGGGGGGGGGAGGGGATAAATCATATGGGGGGTATTGGGGGGGGTTAAACTAATATACGGGGAGAGGGTGTTAAATTAATGGGTGGGGGCTTAATTTTTACTTGGACCGTTTTTTTGCAAAAAAATGACGCTCCGGCGCGGCGCGCTCATAACTCCCAATTTACGTGGGGCTGCGCGCAACTACGTTGCGCGCACGAAAATTTTTCCCGCCATATTTAGGGGGTGGGGGGTAAAACGTGGGGGGGGGGGAGGGGATAAATCATATGGGGGGTATTGGGGGGGGTTAAACTAATATACGGGGAGAGGGTGTTAAATTAATGGGTGGGGGCTTAATTTTTACTTGGACCGTTTTTTTGCAAAAAAATGACGCTCCGGCGCGGCGCGCTCATAACTCCCAATTTACGTGGGGCTGCGCGCAACTACGTTGCGCGCACGAAAATTTTTCCCGCCATATTTAGGGGGTGGGGGGTAAAACGTGGGGGGGGGGGAGGGGATAAATCATATGGGGGGTATTGGGGGGGGTTAAACTAATATACGGGGAGAGGGTGTTAAATTAATGGGTGGGGGCTTAATTTTTACTTGGACCGTTTTTTTGCAAAAAAATGACGCTCCGGCGCGGCGCGCTCATAACTCCCAATTTACGTGGGGCTGCGCGCAACTACGTTGCGCGCACGAAAATTTTTCCCGCCATATTTAGGGGGTGGGGGGTAAAACGTGGGGGGGGGGGAGGGGATAAATCATATGGGGGGTATTGGGGGGGGTTAAACTAATATACGGGGAGAGGGTGTTAAATTAATGGGTGGGGGCTTAATTTTTACTTGGACCGTTTTTTTGCAAAAAAATGACGCTCCGGCGCGGCGCGCTCATAACTCCCAATTTACGTGGGGCTGCGCGCAACTACGTTGCGCGCACGAAAATTTTTCCCGCCATATTTAGGGGGTGGGGGGTAAAACGTGGGGGGGGGGGAGGGGATAAATCATATGGGGGGTATTGGGGGGGGTTAAACTAATATACGGGGAGAGGGTGTTAAATTAATGGGTGGGGGCTTAATTTTTACTTGGACCGTTTTTTTGCAAAAAAATGACGCTCCGGCGCGGCGCGCTCATAACTCCCAATTTACGTGGGGCTGCGCGCAACTACGTTGCGCGCACGAAAATTTTTCCCGCCATATTTAGGGGGTGGGGGGTAAAACGTGGGGGGGGGGGAGGGGATAAATCATATGGGGGGTATTGGGGGGGGTTAAACTAATATACGGGGAGAGGGTGTTAAATTAATGGGTGGGGGCTTAATTTTTACTTGGACCGTTTTTTTGCAAAAAAATGACGCTCCGGCGCGGCGCGCTCATAACTCCCAATTTACGTGGGGCTGCGCGCAACTACGTTGCGCGCACGAAAATTTTTCCCGCCATATTTAGGGGGTGGGGGGTAAAACGTGGGGGGGGGGGAGGGGATAAATCATATGGGGGGTATTGGGGGGGGTTAAACTAATATACGGGGAGAGGGTGTTAAATTAATGGGTGGGGGCTTAATTTTTACTTGGACCGTTTTTTTGCAAAAAAATGACGCTCCGGCGCGGCGCGCTCATAACTCCCAATTTACGTGGGGCTGCGCGCAACTACGTTGCGCGCACGAAAATTTTTCCCGCCATATTTAGGGGGTGGGGGGTAAAACGTGGGGGGGGGGGAGGGGATAAATCATATGGGGGGTATTGGGGGGGGTTAAACTAATATACGGGGAGAGGGTGTTAAATTAATGGGTGGGGGCTTAATTTTTACTTGGACCGTTTTTTTGCAAAAAAATGACGCTCCGGCGCGGCGCGCTCATAACTCCCAATTTACGTGGGGCTGCGCGCAACTACGTTGCGCGCACGAAAATTTTTCCCGCCATATTTAGGGGGTGGGGGGTAAAACGTGGGGGGGGGGAGGGGATAAATCATATGGGGGGTATTGGGGGGGGTTAAACTAATATACGGGGAGAGGGTGTTAAATTAATGGGTGGGGGCTTAATTTTTACTTGGACCGTTTTTTTGCAAAAAAATGACGCTCCGGCGCGGCGCGCTCATAACTCCCAATTTACGTGGGGCTGCGCGCAACTACGTTGCGCGCACGAAAATTTTTCCCGCCATATTTAGGGGGTGGGGGGTAAAACGTGGGGGGGGGGGAGGGGATAAATCATATGGGGGGTATTGGGGGGGGTTAAACTAATATACGGGGAGAGGGTGTTAAATTAATGGGTGGGGGCTTAATTTTTACTTGGACCGTTTTTTTGCAAAAAAATGACGCTCCGGCGCGGCGCGCTCATAACTCCCAATTTACGTGGGGCT